GTGGAAGTGCAAAGGAAATTTGTTTTTGAATGCTCCACTCATGTGCTCAAATTGGTATTATTTATTGCATTTATTCATTGAGTATAATAACTTCAATTTGTGTATATGTGTTCACTCTTTGATATATATGCTTGTTGAATATGATATCATTTGATGTGATTATTAAAATTTATGCAAATTAATGAGCTTGGCATGTTGGATCCTAGTGCTTGATATGATTCTTAAAATTAATGAATTTGATTATTAGGATTTGTGTATATTGATGCTTTGATTTGTGTACCTTGATTATATTCATGATATTTGATGATGCATTCATTGATATATGACTAAAGTTGCATTATTTAGTAGTGGATGTCCAATTTAAACTTAGTTAAATGAAGAAATATCAAATTAAGGTGCATTCCCTTCAAAACAGCCCCAAACTTTCTGTTTGTCCCAATCAAGGCCAGTAGAGCCAGCTCATCCCTTTTCACAGCCGGCTCAACCAAAAACCCGAGAGTGTTCTCTCTCTAGACCTCAGCCGGCTATAGGTTTACAGCCGGCTCAACCCAGAAAACCCGAGAGTCTTCTCTCTCTAAACCACAGCCGGCTGTCTGTTCTGCAGCTGGCTCAACCTGCAGGCGACCCGACCCGGACCCGCTCTTCAGCCGGCTCTACAATTATAGCCGGCTCTCCTGCAGATTTTTAAAGGCCCCGGGTTTCTCTCTCCCCGCACAAACCAGACCAGATCTGCACCAAACCCGCGACCTCTCCTCTCCCAATCTCGCCATTCCCTCTCTCAAACACCAAAATCCCTCCAAATCTCCAAAACCCATCCCTTAAACACTCAAATTTCTTCAAATCCTTACCTACCCAACACAAATCCACAAGCTTTCTGCTCCAATTTTGGTTGGTTTTTTGCTGAGTTCTCTCTCTCATGGCTTCAAGAAGGGGCGGAAGCAAAAGGAGACAAGTGGGGAGTTCTAGTGCCGGTGGGCAAACCCAAGAAGAAGGTAACCTCGTTAATAATGCTCTGTTTGTGGATGATGATGCCATTAAGCGCTATAATTTCTTCAAAAACTTGGCTGTGCTACCCTGTAATTGTGTGAAATTTAGTAAATTTCCTCAAGGCGATATGCATGTTGAACAAATGTTTAGAGAACTTGGGTGGAAGGAGTATGTAGAAATTAAAGAGCATGTGTACTATGAAGTTGTTCATCAGTTTTATGCTAATTTGAAACCAAGAGGGAATAGATGCAAGACTATGGTTGCTGGGGTGTCATTGCAGTTTTCTCCGAGGGAAATTTGTGCTGAATTAAATATACCTGAAGGAGGAGATGATGAGTTTTTAGATGTGAATCATGCCTTAGTTAGAGCCACAATTGCCCCCAATTGCACTGAACATCAAGCTAAAGTGGGGTATCTTACACCAGAGAATAGAGCATTGCAGTGGATTATCTCTCGCATTATTGCTCAGAGGAAGGGTTCTAAATCTTATGTTCTTGCCAGTGATCTTCCTTGGTTTGATTATCTTCTTAACGGAAAAAGGGTGAACCTAGGAAGATACATTTTCTAGAGCATAATCAAGCCTTACTCACCAACTTCGGGACTTCCTCATGGTGCTCTAATTACAAGATTGGCGAAGAGGAACAATATTGATCTTACACCCTTTAAGTTCGGAACGGTTCCCGGTGGGACTACACTCACCAAAGCTTCTTTTGAAAAAATGGACTTCTTGTTTAGAAATGGCACTTGGATAAAGAAAGGGGAACAAGAAGGGGAGGAAGAAGAAGGTGATACAGATCAAGAGATGGCAGAACAAGGGGCGGCAGAACAAGGGGCAACAGAAAATGAAGATGACAGCCCAAGACCCTTTCGAGTCTCCATGCAGAGGACAAACCGTGAAACCATGGAGTTAATGATATCTGAGATGCAGCAGCTGCACACCGACTTTTATGGTTTCCGGACAAAAATGACTGGTTTCCGGACAGAAATAAGAGAGAGAATGACTAACGTGGAAGGAAAGCTGACTAACGTGGAAGGAAAGCTTGATCGGCTTGTTAACCATTTTTTTCCTCCACCCCCACCTGATGCCACCTAACTTGATATTTCTTTAGTTTGGCTAATCTTTAGGATGG